ATGCTCGGCGGCGCAGATCAAAACGTCTCTCAATGCAGATGGCCAAGTCGATCAACCCGTCCAGACGAGATGGGACTTCTCGAGCAAAGATCTCATCCTTAACTTCAGGGTACTACATTGTACTAACTACATTAAAGGCCATGGTGCAGGTTAAACACTACTGTCGATTAATAAGTACATAAAGCAGTTAAGATATGTATATGAAGTTAGAAATATCTCAAAAATGGTGTTAAAGTCCCGTTTTTGTAGTTTTTGTTTAGTGACGGTTATTTTTCACGCGACTCGGCGATGACGTCACATGAGGCAGACACAGCTGCAGGCTGCAGGCTGCAGGCAGCGGCGCGCTTCAGAATCGGTTCACAGTAAAGTCTGATGGTTCAAAGCCGAGGAGATCGATGTTCTCGTCAGGGCTGTAAAAGAAATAGAAGTGACATTGGGGATGGGACAAACCCACCCATATTAGCTTCGGTTATGCATATCAATTTGGGCAAATGTGTATGCTTTATGCCTATTTTTCCTATCGTCATCATGAACACAACAATGATTTCCCTCGTGTTTAAATAGTTTTCCTTATAATAATGCATCATTTGTAAAAAGTAAAATGCATCTGTGTAAATGAGAGAATCATCTACTATGTGTATGCGCGTTGTTCACTCTGTATCTGCAAGCATGCGGATAAAATAGCATCTGAAAGTACACGCAACGCGCCACTGACTTTAGACTTGGTTAGGGTGACCAACAGTCCTGTTTTACCAGGACATTTTCTGTTTTCACGTCCTGTCCTGGCTGTTTTTATTTTTTTTTTTTAATTATGAAAATGTCCTGGTTTTCAAAAAACTTCTGGGAAAGATCAGATGGGCAAACAAGCATGAGGAAGAAAAACAGGATAAGGAGGAAGAAAACTAGATACATTTTGTTAGTTCGTTTTTGTAAGTTTGTGAGATCTATTTTTGTTACATTTGGAGGTATTTATTTTAGTTATTTCTTAATTATATATTTATTTTTCTAATACAGAAGAGACATTTCATTCATTCAAACCTAAAATAATTATATATTTATTTTTCTAATACAGAAGAGACATTTCATTCATTCAAACCTGTAATAAAACAGGCTCTGAGAAGCCTATCTGAATTTGTGTCTTGTAATATAACAATTTTCTATCCATACAGAGGAGGCAGGCTATTTTAAATATACTGATACAGATGTAACGTGTACATATCCAGCATTCTGGATATGAGGCATAATGCCTGAATCCATTTGTGCTACACATAGCATACTCACACTTCATGCAAGATAATGGTCCCCTTCAAACCAGCACGCATGAGTATGTTCATGAACAACAGCTATAGGTGACAGGAGATGTGTTGCATACACAATAAACATGAATCAGAGACGTTTCCAACCTACTTACAGAGTTTAAAACTTAAGAATCTTTCCTACTTATCCCTAGGCAATACCAGTACAGTGCATACAGACAGGCTATATGCTGGGCTTATGGTGTTTTAAGCAAGAGCAGAAGAAGCCTCTCGTGTGGTTTCAACCATCAGACAACAATTCCAAAGTCGTGACCAGACCTATCAGGGCTTTCAATCGCCTCGTTTGGATGAAAATTAATTTAAAAATATAATTGCTTATTCTGTTGTCATCACCCAATTGCCCTCAAAATGTTATAAAGTACACAGAACACATGAATTTTTATAAGAATAAAACAGTTTATTGGCATTGCTTGTAATGGTTACTAAACATTTTCTGAACAAGGACAAAGATTACTGAACAAAGACACAGGTTTTAAGTAAACAACTCTATACAAAAAATCTTTAGCCTGTAATAGTGTAGTCCAGAGAGCCATAGAGAGAGAGAGTTACGACACTCCCATAGACCGCCATAGGAACTCTGGAATGAGGAACTAACGCGTGTCGTGGAGCTGGTAAATTAATGAAATTACTGTATTGTTTTACTTTTACACACATTAGCCGACCTCTCGTGAATCTAGTCAGTACATTTTATGTAGCCAGTTTTAGTTAATGCTTATTGGAAGATAATGCATTAATTGCAGCAAGCTATAGCTTACATGACCAACTCTTCATTAAAGTTAGCTAACTTATGGTAACCTGAAGTATATATTATTTATAATATATATTCACGTATGTATGTAGGCCTATGCATATATACACACATAACCCTAACCCATTTAAATAAATGAATTGTGTGTGTGTGTGTGTGTGTGTGTGTGTGTGTGTGTGTGTGTGTGTGTGTGTGTATATATATATATATATATACACACACACACAATTAATATATTATGTTTATGGGTTAAGGTTAGTTATGTGTGATTCAAATATACATGTGTACTGTACATCAAATACATGTATTTGTATGTGTTTTCTGATATGGTTTAGTCCATGATTAGGGTAGGAAGAAGGGGCACATTAGCCATGCTGAAATTAATCCCGTTAACAGTTATGGATCATTAACTATCTCTCCGGTTTCATTGTATGTTAATAAAGTTTATTTTTACCGAACATGCAAATTTGTACATGCACACTTATATTTTATGTTGGTTGTAATTCTGAACAGACCACCTCTCCAGACCGCTTTGCGTGATCACGAAGGTAGGCTAATGGCTGAATCGGAATTTATAAACAAGATCACGGGAATCAATAGCCTAAGAAAAAAAAGTAATGATTTTGTGCAAAGTAAAACCAAAGAAACAGCACACAAAGAAAAAAACAAAACATGCAGAATGCAGGAAACCACCACTAAATGAGATGACAGGGACAGAAGGAAAGAAGATAACTAACAACTAAAATAAATAAATACAACTAAACCATTGGACTTGTCTGTGGAAAGAAAATAATGTGAAATTAGGTTCTTGAAGCGTGACTGCCGGGCTAGGTAGAGGCTGACGGCCTCCTCAGGAACCTGTTTGAAGGATGTGGCGATGGGGACAAACTGGCGCTAACCTCTCGAAGAGCCGCAGGTGAATTGGTGTAGCTTTCCCGAAGGGCCTTCATTAATGATGTTGCATAACCTGCAGACATAATAATAATACTGTATAAAGATCATTGCCACTAATGGAAAAACATGAAATTGTCCTGCATATGAATAAACAGTAAACAGAATGTTATGAGATTGCCAGGGAGATTACCCATTGGACCCTAATATGCACTACTAAATGTTTTAAAAAATAAAAAAATAAAAAAATGCAGACCATATTTGATGATTTGAATGTTACTATTAAATGTTATACAATACTAGTGGTAATACACGTGGTAAAGTTAGTAACATAAACTCTGTGAGGTAGTGAATTACTGAGAGGTAACTTAGCTAAACTCTGAAGTGAAAAGTGGATAAACTGTTTCTGACCTAATTTCAGCAGGTAAACTGCATTTAGCCTCCACTACAGCCCTGACGACACGGTCAATGAAAAAGAGAACAGTAGCAGTCTAACGTTATAACAAAACGCAAACACACGATTGCGAAAGCCGCTTGATGATCATCACCACTGATCCAAACACTAGCCACGAAGCCTTCATGACAATATGGACATTTACTTCTGGGCAATTTTGTTTTGGCTCAAATTCGTGCATCACGAAAAATGCTCTTCTAATGTCATAGTGATCGTGCTTGTAGTGGAGGCTATTATGTCAAAGGGAACACGGTAGTTATACAAAATACACACAGAGCTAGCTAACATGCAGCTTGTAAACATTAACGTTAGCATGATGCTTACCGTGGCAATTTCTCGCTTTTGCGGCAGACGGTGTCTCTCGACCTCGGGACAGGGCAAGCAGAGAGGTTTGCGTTCACAGACGGCAGTGCGGTTGGAAGTAATTTAGCACTCCTCTCACTCTTTAATCCAAGTGAAGTAAGACCATCTTGGCATCCCCTGAGTGGTTATCCTCCTCTTTGAAATGCGCGCTGCATATTCTCGAGTAGGCGGCGACAGAGCTAACGTTAACTTAGCTGAAAAATCTGCTCGCCTAATCTTGACAAACTGCACCCAGCTTCGGAAGATCTATCTATTTATATTTACTTATAAATCTGTCACTGTCAGTGTCACTGCTTCACTAGCTAGCTAACTTAAACTCCTCGTATCACTCTCCCTCAAAATGGTAGGCGGGCCGCGGGGCTGTCTGTCGTCCAACAGTCAGCGAGTGCCTCATGTGACGTCATGGAATGCATTGTGGGAGAAATAAGAATCCTCGCTTAGCTTTAGCTAAAAGCTAACATTTCACCCACTTTTCCGTGTTATATTTTAATTTTTGAGTACCCTACAACATCAGATACAATGGATAACTGTTTAAATGTTTATTACCAACTAGAAAATTGCCAAAAAAGAAAAAAAAAAAAACCTGCACCATGGCCTTTAAGCCCCTCCAGGAAACGGGCAACTAATGGCGGCTCGTTCCATTCACTTGTGGTCGCGAGAATGCGAAACTCAATGGAGAAATCCGCCACCGACCATTTGCCTTGACAAAGCGCGCAAAAGCCTTCGTGAACCCTCCTCTCCAAAGGCAGAACGTTCAAAGACGTGGATCATCTCGGCCTTGAAAGAAGAAAAACTGAACACACAGTCAGCTTCAGCCTCCCAGTTTGCAGCTCCCCATTCGCAAGCCCGACCAGTAAGGAGGGAAATTACACAGGCGACCCGGGCTTGATCATTAACATACGTGGATGGCTGGAGACAAAAGACAACTTCACATTGTGTCAAAAAGCTCGGCACTGAGTGGGCTCACCTGAGTAACACGGTGGATTATTGACCCGAGGCTCAGGTGTCTCATGATGATCCTGGGTGGTGTGTGCCTCCTGATGTTGGAGAAGAAAGCTTGAGGAGAGCGAAGAAACCTGAGATGCTAAAGACTCAAAAGCTTGTCGAGCATGCGGAGCGTTCTTCCTCCTGCCGTCCCAGCATTGCACCCTGCAGTTCAACAGCCTCTTGAAATCGATAATGAGGAGGAAGGAATGAAAGGTGTAGTCATCAGGGTGACCGTGATTTTGCCAAGTAAGAGGTGTTCCTGGATCAACATATTTTGTTGATCCTGGATCAACATTTAATCAACCAATCACAAGCCTCTGATGTCATCCGTGTGTGCCGACCCAAAAACCCGTCACTCCATTTTGAATCTTCCCTCCCCACCTTCCTATGCTGACCGACAAAAGGTAAGTTATTTTGTCTGTCCTCTTTCTTTCACCCTCTCCCTAACTAAAAATCTACCTTTGTAAATGTATTTATTCACGAAAAAATCCTGAAATATTACACTTAAATGGCATAATGTAATGCAACTCTGAACATACAACTGCCATGTGCCGGTGAGCTAATAGCTTAGCTTGCTAATAGCTTAGCTTGCTTTTCTCTATAACCCCTAAAAGTCTTCCTTCTCACATACTCTTACACACAAATGTAATATTCCTTACAATTTTATAATAATGTTTTAAAAATGGTAATAAATTACTGCTCTTTAAAACAGACTACTATGCTTTTAGTCAGAATAAAGTGTGCAAAAAGTACATGCGTTTTTAAAAAAAACAGTAGAATATCTGCTTTTTGAATATGATTGTAATCAATATTTTGATAATTGTTATAAAGTCATCAGTTCCATATGGGGTAGATTAGCTAATGTTGATCCAGGATCATCATGATCAGTTCAATGCAGGGTAGATTCGCTAATGTTGATCCAGGATCATCATGATCAGTTCAATATGGGGTATATTCGCTAATGTTGATCCAGGATCATCATGATCAGTTCAATATGGGGTGGATTCGCTAATGTTGAACCAGGACCATCATGATCAGTTCAATATGGGGTAGATTCGCTAATGTTGATCCAGGACCATCATGATCAGTTCAATACGGGGTCGATTCACTAATGTTGATCCAGGATCATCATGATCAGTTCAATACGGGGTCGATTCACTAATGTTGATCCAGGACCATCATGATCAGTTCAATACGGGGTAGATTCGCTAATGTTGATCCAGGACCATCATGATCAGTTCAGTACGGGGTCGATTCACTAATGTTGATCCAGGACCATCATGATCAGTTCAATACGGGGTAGATTCACTAATGTTGATCCAGGACCATCATGATCAGTTCAATACGGGGTAGATTCACTAATGTTGAACCAGGACCATCATGATCAGTTCAATATGGGGTAGATTCGCTAATGTTGATCCAGGATCATCATGATCAGTTCAATACGGGGTAGATTCGCTAATGTTGATCCAGGATCATCATGATCAGTTCAATACGGGGTAAATTCGCTAATGTTGATCCAGGACCATCATGGTCAGTTCAATACGGGGTAGATTCGCTAATGTTGATCCAGGACCATCATGATCAGTTCAATATGGGGTAGATTCGCTAATGTTGATCCAGGACCATCATGATCAGTTCAATATGGGGTAGATTCGCTAATGTTGATCCAGGACCATCATGATCAGTTCAATATGGGGTAGATTCGCTAATGTTGATCCAGGACCATCATGATCAGTTCAATATGGGGTAGATTTGCTAATGTTGATCCAGGACCATCATGATCAGTTCAATATGGGGTCGATTCACTAATGTTGATCCAGGACCATCATGATCAGTTTAATACGGGGTAGATTTGCTAATGTTGATCCAGGACCATCATGATCAGTTCAATATGGGGTCGATTCACTAATGTTGATCCAGGACCATCATGATCAGTTCAATACGGGGTAAATTCGCTAATGTTGATCCAGGACCATCATGATCAGTTCAATATGGGGTCGATTCACTAATGTTGATCCAGGACCATCATGATCAGTTCAATACGGGGTAAATTCGCTAATGTTGATCCAGGACCATCATGATCAGTTCAATACGGGGTAGATTTGCTAATGTTGATCCAGGACCATCATGATCAGTTCAATATGGGGTAGATTCGCTAATGTTGATCCAGGATCATCATTATCAGTTCAATACGGGGTAGGGTAGATTTGCTAATGTTGATCCAGGACCATCATGATCAGTTCAATATGGGGTAGATTCGCTAATGTTGATCCAGGATCATCATGATCAGTTCAATACGGGGTAGATTCACTAATGTTGAACCAGGACCATCATGATCAGTTCAATATGGGGTAGATTCGCTAATGTTGATCCAGGATCATCATGATCAGTTCAATATGGGGTAGATTCGCTAATGTTGAACCAGGACCATCATGATCAGTTCAATATGGGGTAGATTCGCTAATGTTGATCCAGGATCATCATGATCAGTTTAATACGGGGAAGATTTGCTAATGTTGATCCAGGACCATCATGATCAGTTCAATATGGGGTAGATTCGCTAATGTTGATCCAGGACCATCATGATCAGTTCAATATGGGGTAAATTCGCTAATGTTGATCCAGGACCATCATGATCAGTTCAATATGGGGTCGATTCACTAATGTTGATCCAGGACCATCATGATCAGTTCAATACGGGGTAAATTCGCTAATGTTGATCCAGGACCATCATGATCAGTTCAATATGGGGTAGATTCGCTAATGTTGATCCAGGACCATCATGATCAGTTCAATACGGGGTCGATTCACTAATGTTGATCCAGGACCATCATGATCAGTTCAATACGGGGTAAATTCGCTAATGTTGATCCAGGATCATCATTATCAGTTCAATACGGGGTAGATTCGCTAATGTTGATCCAGGACCATCATGATCAGTTCAATACGGGGTCGATTCACTAATGTTGATCCAGGACCATCATGATCAGTTCAATATGGGGTAGATTCGCTAATGTTGATCCAGGATCATCATTATCAGTTTAATACGGGGTAGATTCGCTAATGTTGATCCAGGACCATCATGATCAGTTCAATACGGGGTAAATTCGCTAATGTTGATCCAGGACCATCATGATCAGTTCAATATGGGGTCGATTCACTAATGTTGATCCAGGACCATCATGATCAGTTCAATACGGGGTAAATTCGCTAATGTTGATCCAGGACCATCATGATCAGTTCAATATGGGGTAGATTCGCTAATGTTGATCCAGGACCATCATGATCAGTTCAATACGGGGTAGATTCGCTAATGTTGATCCAGAACCATCATGATCAGTTCAAAATGGGGTAGATTCGCTAATGTTGATCCAGGATCATCATGATCAGTTCAATACGGGGTAAATTCGCTAATGTTGATCCAGGATCATCATGATCAGTTCAATACGGGGTAGATTTGCAAATGTTGATCCAGGACCATCATGATCAGTTCAATACGGGGGAGATTCACTAATGTTGATCCAGGACCATCATGATCAGTTCAATACGGGGTAGATTCGCTAATGTTAATCCAGGATCATCATGTTCAGTTCAATATGGGGTAGATTCGCTAATGTTGATCCAGGACCATCATGATCAGTTCAATACGGGGTAGATTCGCTAAAGTTGATCCAGGATCATCATGATCAGTTCAATACGGGGTAGATTCGCTAATGTTGATCCAGGACCATCATGATCAGTTCAATACGGTGTAGATTCGCTAATGTTGATCCAGGACCATCATGATCAGTTCAATACGGGGTAGATTCGCTAATGTTAATCCAGGATCATCATGTTCAGTTCAATATGGGGTATATTCGCTAATGTTGATCCAGGATCATCATGAACAGTTCAATACGGGGTCGATTCACTAATGTTGATCCAGGACCATCATGATCAGTTCAATACGGGGTAGATTCGCTAAAGTTGATCCAGGATCATCATGTTCAGTTCAATACGGGGTAGATTCGCTAATGTTGATCCAGGACCATCATGATCAGTTCAATACGGGGTAGATTCGCTAATGTTGATCCGGGACCATCATGATCAGTTCAATACGGGGTCGATTCGCTAATGTTGATCCAGGATCATCATGATCAGTTCAATACGGGGTAGATTCGCTAATGTTGATCCAGGATCATCATGATCAGTTCAATACGGGGTCGATTCGCTAATGTTGATCCAGGATCATCATGATCAGTTCCATATGGGGTAGATTCGCTAATGTTGATCCAGGATCATCATGATCAGTTCAATACGGGGTCGATTCGCTAATGTTGATCCAGGATCATCATGTTCAGTTCAATACGGGGTAGATTCGCTAATGTTGATCCAGGACCATCATGTTCAGTTCAATACGTGGGTAGATTCACTAATGTTGATCCAGGACCATCATGATCAGTTCAATACGGGGTAGATTCGCTAATGTTGTTACAGGACCAGCATTGATGCAGAATCAATGAAATCACCAATAACTTTGTATAGCTCATATGGTAAGCTGATAAATGTTTTAAAATGTAAACTTTCAATGTATCAGCTTTTTGTTAGTGTTTCCTCTTTAAAGTTAATATATGTGTTTGGTGCTGATGCGTGTTATTTTAAAATAACCAGAACAAAAACATTATGTGAAATTGAATTAACTAAGTATATTTTTTTCTGTTTATACATTTCAGAAATGTTCCATCATGGAGGAGTTTATCAAAAAGTCTGTGGAAAATGAAGAAAAGAGAAAAATAAGACAGAAAAACATTAAACTCAAGGTGCATATTCTTAAACCAGATGATCAAGAAGAGAACTTTATCACAGAAATAATTAACAAAGAGCACACAAAATCATTCAGGACCACAAATTGTTCCAGTTTAAAAGATAAAGGAAGAGGATATTATATTTTCCATTGCAGAAGATCTGGAAATGTATATGAAAGAAGTCACAGAGCTGTCGGGTGTAAAGCATACCTCTCTTTTAAAGTGAGAAATGATTGGAAAGGACACAAAGTTATTGTGCAGAGAGTATTTGACCAGCACAATGGACATGATGTTTCTGTAGAAGATGGTCATTTTCATCAGATTCACCCTCAGCTGGTGGATGAGATCAAGAAGTGGATTACATTAGGCGTAAAACCAGATGTCATCCTCCTTCAAGCTCATCAGTGGTCAAAAGCTCATGGAGAAGTTAATTATCATTCCAGAGAATATTTTGTTACACCAGAAGACATACATAATATCCGTACCTGTATGCTTCGAGGGAAACATCTTGATAAAGATGATTATAAGAGTACAGAAAAACTATTATCTGGTCCTTTAAAAGATAATGTTGTATTTTATCAGCCACTGGATAATGATCAGGATCTTATAATTGTTCTCCAAACGGAGTGCATGAGAAAAGACTTACAGGACCATGGGAGTAACATTGTGTTTTTTGATGCCACACACTGTGTGAATCAATATTCCTTTCCACTTTTTACACTGCTTGTGAGAGATGACCATGGTCATGGAGTTCCTATTGCATACATAATAACAAGCAATGAGACACAAGAAACCCTTAAGCTTGCACTTCGGAGGCTACGACCTTTGTTCCCTAAGCCACCAAGGTAATTTATTAAGGAACTGATCTATTGGGGGATCCAAGGTTTAACAAGTTGACTTACTTTTCTTTTTCTTTAAAGGTGCTTCATGGTTGACAAAGACATGAGTGAAATAAATGCTTTGAACGACGTTTTCCCTGAGTCTGATGTTCTTCTTTGCTGGTACCATGTACTCCAAGTAAGACACTTTTTTCCCCTTAAATACTGTATATTGATTCATAATGTTAATGATACTTGCATAATCCGTTACATATGTCCTGGTTCACAGGCCATTGTTCGGTGGTTGATGAAGTCAGATTCCAGTGTTAGTGGGCCACAGCGTTCAAGTATCCGGAAAGAAATTATTGATTACTTCAAAAAAATGAAAGCTTGTCCTATGGTATTTGAATTTTACATTTTAATGGTTGTATTATACGGTTACAATATGTACACCTAATGTATACCTTGACAACCCATTTTTAAAAGGATGTAATTTTTTCACCAAAAAAGGATTTTTTTTTGTCATGTACTTACCCTAATGTTGTTTCAAACCTGTTTGAGTTTCTTTCTTCTGCTGAAAAAATAACTATATATATATATATATATATATATATATATATATTGAAGAATGTTGGTAATTAAAAAATTGATGGTCCCTAGTAGAAAAAACGTCTCGGTTACGTATGTAACCCTCGTTCCCTGAGTAGGGAACGGAGACGTTACGTCAGAAGTGACGGAGATTGGGGGTTTCGCATAGAAAGCCAATCCTCTTCGAGTATTTAAACACGAGCCAATGGCATGCAATGCCTTGGGGCTGCGGAAATTTGCATAGCGTACTCCGCCCTACTCCGTGAGTATAAAAGGAGGAAGTGAACGCAACCGCAGTATGTCTTCGCTGAGGAGCCAAGACTGAACTCGGCATCTACCCAGCGATACAGCAGAAGTGGCAGGGAGACGTAACGTCTCCGTTCCCTACTCAGGGAACGAGGGTTACATACGTAACCGAGACGTTCCCTTTCGTAGTCACTTCGAGTTACGTCAGAAGTGACGGAGATTGGGGGTCTGTGCCATCACGCCAACTTCAGGCTGTCTTCCAGTGCCCTGCGAAAGTCTGAACCCCCGAGCCTTACCTGTTTTCCTTAGGGGATCCGACTTAGACACAGGATTACCAAGGTACACTGGGAAACATATCCCGAAGGGGACATGCTACCAGCTGCCTACCGAAGGGAGGACTTACGAATACACATATGGCCACATAGGAACACATATGGAATCACTGGAGCACCAACCGCAGGTGGCACTAATTTCAGCTCCAGGGGTGGCAGATGGCTTGCCAAGGGAAGACACATGCTCAGAGAGGCTTACAGTGGATAATACACATGAGACGGTTACCAAGGGGGAACCGTACGCATGGAGGCACCTAGCCAGCATCCAGAGCCACAGCAGTGGTGCCCGCATCGTCGGTGCTGGAGGACTCAAGGCTTCAATGGAAGAACTGAGGAAATATCGCACTTATCCAGTCCGGGGAGTGGAGTGGCGAGCAAGCGAAGACACCTGAGCGGATCCAGAACTGGCCGAAACGAGTACGTGAGAGGATACCGGCTCAATTCGCAGATTATAGAATCTGGCGAAGGTGTTGGGTGTCGCCCAGCCTGCAGCTCTGCAGATGTCTGTTAGCGAGGCGCCGTGCGCTAAAGCCCAAGAGGAGGCCACACTCCGAGTGGAATGGGCCGTCACACCAAGGGGGCACGGAAGGCCTTGCTGCTGGTAAGACAAAGCAATGGCATCCACAATCCAGTGGGACAGCCGTTGCTTTGAGAGAGCCCTTCCCTTCTGGCTCCCTCCATGACAGACAAAGAGCTGGTCTGAGGTCCTGAAACACTGCGTTCTGTCGACATAGGTGCGGAGCGCACGTACCGGACAGAGCAGTGCCAAGGCTGGGTCTGCCTCCTCCGGGGGCAGCGCTTGCAGGTTCACCACCTGGTCCCGGAAGGGAGTGGTGGGAACCTTGGGCACATATCCAGGCCGGGGTCTCAGGATCACGTGAGAGTAAGCCGGCCCGAACTCCAGGCACGCTTCGTCAACGGAGAATGCGTGCAGGTCCCCCACCCTCTTGATGGAGGCCAATGCAACCAGGAGTGCTGTCTTCATGGACAGAAACTTTAACTCTACCGATTGCAAAGGCTCAACGGGATGCCTCTGCAGAGCACTTAAAACTACCGAGAGGTCCCAAGAGGGTACAAGGGGAGGACGAGGCGGATGCAGCCTCCTCGCTCCCCTCAGGAACCTGATGACCAGGTCGTGCTTCCCTAAGGACTTACCTTCCACTGCTTCATGAGAAGCGGCAATGGCCGCGACGTAAACCTTAAGGGTGGAGGGCGACAGCCTGCGCTCCAACCCTTCTTGCAGGCAGGAAAGCACGACACTGATCGAACATCTCCGGGGGTCTTCTCCGCGAGAAGAGCACCAATTGACGAAGAGGTTCCACTTCAACGCATAAAGGTGTCTCGTGGACGACGCTCTTGCGGAAGTGATGGTTGCCGCCACCGCAGGTGGCAGCGAACTCAAACCTGCCTCGTGCCGTCCAGGAGCCACACGTGCAGCCTCCAAAGATCGGGACGAGGGTGCCACAGAGTGCCCCGTCTCTGAGAGAGTAGGTCTTGTCTCAGAGGAATAGGCCAAGGAGGTGCTGTCGCGAGGAGCAAGAGATCGGAGAACCACGTCTTGGTGGGCCAGTAGGGGGCACCAGCAAGACCTGCTCCTCGTCCTCCTTGATCTTGCACAACACCCGTGCAAGGAGGCTCACTGGGGGAAACGCATATTTGCGTGGGCCCCGTGGCCAGCTGTGCGCCAGCGCATCCGAGCCGAGAGTGCCGCGGGTCAGAGAATAAAACTGGGCGCAGTGGGACGAGTCCCGAGAGGCGAACAGGTCTACCTGTGCCTCCCCGAACTCGTCCCAAATCAGCTGGACCGACTGGGGATGGAGTCGCCATTCGCCGGAGATGGGGCGGACCCGGGACAGCTCGTCGGCTGCCCAGTTCCGGTCTCCAGGAATGTAAACTGCACGAAGGGACCTCAGGTGCTTCTGACTCCATATCAAGAGGTGGCGGGCGAGCTGCGACAACTGGCGTGAGCGTAGACCCCCTGGTGGTTGATGTACGCTACTGCCGTAGTGTTGTCTGAGCGGACAAGCACATGCTGGCCCTTGAGCAACGCTCGGAAGCGGTGTAGGGCGAGCCGTACTGCCAACAGCTCGAGGCAATTGATGTGCATGAGGCGCTGGGCTCCTGTCCAGGAACCGGCGGCTGCATGCCCATTGCACATGGCACCCCAACCCGTGGTAGATGCATCCGTGGAGACAACGAGATGCCTGGAAACTCGCTGAATAGGGACGCCGGTCCGTAAGAAGCTGAGGTTCGACCACGGGAAGAAGGTTCGGCGGCACGCTGGAGTCACTGGAACTCGGAGCGAGCCGCGATGCCATGCCCACCTCGGGACTCGATCGCGAAGCCACAGCTGAAGCGGTCTCATATGAAGCAAACCGAGCGGCGTTGCCGCGGCCGCGGATGCCATATGCCCCAGGAGCCTCTGAAATAGTTTCAGTGGAACCGCACTCTTGCCCTCGAACTGTCGAAGACAAGTCAGCAGTGAGTGCGCGCGCTCGTTCGTGAGCTGCGCGGACATGGCGACCGAGTCTATCTCCATGCCGAGAAAAGAGATCCTCTGCACGGGGCAAAGTTTGCTCTTTTCCCGGTTGACCCGAAGGCCCAAACGGGCTAGGTGCCGGAGCACCAAGTCTCTGTGTTCGCAAAGCTGAGCTCGAGAGTGTGCTAGTATCAGCCAGTCATCGAGATAATTCAGGATGCGAACCCCGTGTTCGCGAAGGGGAACAAGGGCTGCCTCGACGATCTTCGTGAAGACGCGAGGGGACAGAGCTAACCCGAATGGGAGAACGGCGTACTGATATGCCTGGCCCTCGAAGGCAAACCGAAGAAACGGTCTGTGTCGAGGTAAGATGGACACATGGAAGTACGCGTCCTTCAGGTCGATCGCTGCAAACCAATCCTGATACCGAACACATTCGAAAATGCGTTTGGCCGTGAGCATTTTGAACGGTAGTCGATGGAGAGAACGGTTCAAAATGCGCAGGTCCAGGATCGGTCGTAACCCACCGGTCTTCTTGGGGACAATGAAGTAGGGGCTGTAAAACCGGGACTCCACCTCGGCTGGAGGGACCGTCTCGATTGCACCCTTCGCCAGCAGGGTCGCAATCTCCGCTCTCAGGAGTGGGGCATTGCCACCAACTATCGTGGAGCGAACTCCCCTGAAGCGGGGAGGAGACCGTGCGATCTGAATCGCGTATCCGAATCTGATCGTTCTGATGACCCAGCGGGATATCCCGGGAAGCACTAGCCAGGCTTCCAGGAAGTGAGCCAACGGGGTCATGTGAACCACAGACGTCCCCCCGGAGGGGCAGCGTGGCGGGTCGACTGGCACGCGTGCAGGGATGACCCCGCTCGGATGCGTCGAAGCCCGCTCCCTGACGGAAGGGACCAGGGAAAGCGGAGCGTTCCACGGGGGTCCGTTCCGCCAGGGGTCTGGCGACAGAGGGGGAAGGGATTGGCGTAGCCCGGGGACGACACTCGCACCCTTCCGCACCCTCAGAGACAGAGAGGAATGTGTGGGCTGATGCACTGGAACGTCGAGCGCACTCATTCCAGTCTGTGGGCTCAGTGATGATGTCAAGTCTTTCTTAACCAACTCAGGGCGCTGCCCACCCGTGGGCGAGCAGCGGGAACTGAAAACGAAAGATTTTCCCCCCGGCCCTCCACCGGGGGCAGGAGGGGGCCTGCTCCCGCCTCCTGGGGAAAAACTCAACTCCATCACTGAGCAGCCCGTATCAGGATCATCGCTTACCTGGCGTTTAGCGGGGTGTGCGGCCTGAGGGGGCTGTGACGCCTGCCGGCGGCCTCCTCCACGCCGTGGCCCGGATGAAGGCTGCTGCTGGGGCGGGGCGGGAGGCAGGGGAGCCGCGGGGGGGCGTCCTCGGCGGCGAGCAGCGGGAGGCATCTGAGCCGACGACTGGGTGGAGGCAGCAGCTGGTCATCGGGGCAGAACATGTTTGATTGCCTCCGTCTGCTCCTGGGCAGTGGAGACTGCTGGGCAAGAGTTCTCGACTGCACCGCCAAAAAAGGCCAACCTGGGAGAGAAGGGCGTCGAGCAGACGAATCCGCTCAGCGCTCCGAGTGTCTGCCAGGTTGACGCTCCTGGACCACACTAGTGGCCATCACCTGACCAACGGCGCGAGCGGCCACTTTCGTTGCCCTTTTGGAGAGCAAGGTCAGTGGCGGACCGCAAATCTTCGAATGCCGTTGGATCAGTCCCGCCCTCGAGCATATCTCTGAGCATCTGCGCTTGCACAGTGCTCATCGCATGCAAAGCGGAGGCCGCCCGTCCCGCCGCTCTATAGGAACGCGCCGCCATGGCAAACGAGAACCTACAGGCTTTGGATGGGTGCCTAGGAGGACCACGGAGGAGGCGCCCTGTGGACACAGCTGTATCGCAACAGAACGCTCCAGCGGGGGCATCCCAGTGCACCCACGGGCGGCCCCCCCATCGAGGGGGGAAAGGCGGGGGAGAAATCGCGCTCTCGAGTGGACAGAGGAGTCCCCCAAGAGCGCGATAACTCCGCATGCAGCTCGGGGAAAAAAAGGCAATGGAGTTGGCCGTGGCCTTGCGGCGGCAGCTTTGTCCAAAAACCAATTATCCCTCCGTGAGAGATCGGGGGAGAATGGAGGATGCCACTCTAACCCAATACTCCCAGCGGCTTGAGACAGCATGCCGTCAGCTCGGGATCCGACACGGGCAGCGCTGGCTCTCCCGAAGGGGGCAGTGCAGCCGCATCCTCATCTCCCGAGGACTGTAGCCCACCTAGTGATGCTGCGATCGACATCACATCATCATCTGGAGCGCTGCTCGAAGCAGCCGGTACCACTGAAGAGGCAGCCGACTGAATCGAACTAACGCTCGCTGGCTCACGCACTGAGGCGGGAGGTGTGGCCCGAGAAATCGTCGGGGCTTTATGCCACACCGTCACCGTTAATTCGCCGGGTCCCCGGTCGACGGGCCCCTTTCGTGAAGGAAGCCGATCGAGTAAGGGGGACCGGGGCTCTCACTCTAGTGAGATTTTTTTTTTTTTTTTTATATAAAAATATATATTCTATATATAAAATATAATTTTTTTATATATATATATATATATTTTTTTTTTTTTTTTAACCTCAGTGTGGAGATGGTCATGTCCCATAGCAGGAACATGAGTCATCCACGAACGCTGCTGCTGCATGCTGAATGCCCAGGCATACAGAGCAGCGATCGCGACCATCAGATGACGACAGAAATCGACCGCATCCAGAAGAACACGGGCGAACCGTCTTTAAAAAGACGTGCCGCGTGTAGCTCTTTTACAGAGAGGAGGAAATTCACTCTTTCAGCGCTGAGGCGACCAGGGAGAAGCGCAAAGTCTGGCAGACCACTGCACAGATCGCAGGCAATGCAGAAACTCGCTGGGTACCGCCGTCACACCAACACTGAAGAGGACGCTCGTCTCGAAGAGTCTTGTAATAGCTTTCAGGAGTGAAGAGGTTCTCTTGGCTCCGAAGCGAAAAACATACTGCGGTTGCGTTCACTTCCTCCTTTTATACTCACGGAGTAGGGCGGAGTACGCTATGCAAATTTCCGCAGCCCCAAGGCATTGCATGCCATTGGCTCGTGTTTAAATACTCGAAGAGGATTGGCTTTCTATGCGAAACCCCCAATCTCCATCACTTCTGACGTAACTCGAAGTGACTACGAAAGGGAACTAAACAATTAAGTCAATGGGTGCCGTCAACTGTCTGATTACCAACATTCTTCAAAATATTTTATTTTGTGTACAACAGAAGAAAGAAACTCATAAAGGTTTGGAACAAAATGAGGGTGAGCATTTTAATTTTTCAGTGAATTATCCCTTTAAGTTAGAAATATTTTAATTGTATTACTATTTGCAACGTAACATTTTTGACCAAGAGGCTTTTTTTCACTATGCATTGTGTACTTTTCCATTCACTGTATCAATGTTTTTAAAAACCACAGAAAAGGCAAAATAAATAATTATACTATCCATATTATACAATATTACCAAGCGTTTATATTGTTACCTTTTTTACTTGCAGACTCACCATACCTATTTTTGTTAATTGCAGAAGGCTGACTTTGACAGAATGTCTAAACAATTCCTAAAGGAATTTTCTCACTACAAAGAGCTTTGCAATTACTTCCAGAGGTACTGGGAACCAATAAGTCATAGATGGGCTGACTATGGACGTTGTTATAACCATGGGAATTCAGAGACCAACAATTTAATAGAAAGGTAAAATAAGGAATTTAAATTGTTATTAAAGACTGTAAAGCAGAAATCATTCACTGTCATTCCACATATAATTATGAACTTGTTTTGGGACTATAAATTGTTTTTCTTTTATTCAGGTTCTTCCATCGACTGAAATACCAATTCTTATCTGGGATAAGAAATCGGCGTTTGGATGACTTGCTTGACGTCCTTCTTTGCAAGACGGAGACTTACTTTCAGGTGATAAAACACTTGCAATCAGCAGGAAGAATGGCAAACTGTGTTGCCATGAAGTTGGAGGAAACATTAAGCAAAGCAACTAGAATGATGGAAAAAGGCTGGATTGACCACATTACAAGCGAATCATCGGAAATATATGTCTATAATGTGCCATCCGAACAAGACTCCTCACTTTCCTACAGAACCTGCCCAGCGGAGTGTTTCTGCAGTTGCCCTGTGGGTTTGAAAGGTGAAGTATGCAAACATTTGGTTTTGCTTGATATACTCAAAGAAAAGGATGATGCATTTCCTGAATTTGCTCTTCAGCTGGAAGCTCATGCAAGAGCTTTACAAAACAATGGTCACTTCAGTATCTGTTCTGAGGTGAAGATGGAAATCGACGTCGAAAGTCTTTGTGGGAGAGGAACATATCATACAGATTTGGAAACCTATTCTTGTTCCTGTTGCACATTCTCGTATCATTGCATATGTCCCTGCCTTATTTTAGCACAACAGTTGTTTGGCATGACCATTAATGAAAAATTGTGCTGTTCTGTGAATCAATCTGACAATGCTGATGTGTACTTTGAGAAACAAGACACAACAAGTTTAGACTTCCGGAGACTAGAAGATGTTCTTGCAATTATCAAAAGATGGCAGACTGTTCCAGAGAACATCAAAAGCCAAATAAATGATCTCTATGTTAATGTGCAACAAGAAGACAGAAGTCTTTTGTCAAAAAGGCATTGTACCAATGACACTTCAAGGAAGATACAGCCACTCTTCCCATGCAATGCAAAAAAAAAGAAAAAAGACTTCCAAGGTTTCCAAGAAAACCTGCATTTCTGACACAAATTCAGAAGGGTTTAAAAGAAGAAAGAGGCAACCCAAAAAAAAGTTAAAAAAAACAAAAAAAAAAAAACAAAAAAAAAAAAAACATGAATATAGAATTGGGTGCAGAATACCTTGTATGAAATTTTGGTATCAAATGAAGAGCTGCTTTTAGTGTGGCCAAATGTTTTGTGTTGCTGTTAATTTCTAAACAATACTATTTTCGTAAGAATCTGCGGACCTGTTTTCAATGTGATGTATTTTTTGTACTAAAAAGTAATTCCGTCAATGTAAATTTGATATTTTAGATCTATAATTAATTATTACAGTTACAATACCATTGCAATGGGGCTAGATGACATGTGGTATGTTTCTGTTTGTGTTTATAAGGAATTATACGTCATTCATCCAATAAAACATTTTTATTTATTCCACATACTAAAGATGTACGTTTATGTATTTTACACTGAGCATTTTGATAAAACAAAATTATTAATATAACACAAATATAAGGGTATTTTGGATAAATAAAAGACCGCTACTGATTCGATTCATTGGGAAAGTTTATGAATCTGTATAAACAAAACATCAAACATAAAAGGTTATTCTCAGATTTAGCAACCTTAACATTTTACAAACAGTTTGGTGCTGCATTTGAGATTGATTCGTTCTCCTTTTATTTTAGACTCTCTGAAATGAAACCTAACACTCCATCCACTGCCTGCGGACCAAATGTGTGGGTTAACAAACTGAAGGCTGATCTAGAATCCAGGCTTGATTGCAAGTTGGCACGTACACTAGCCAGAGTTGTCCTTTAACGAAAAGAAAAAGATGAAACCGTTAATTAAATTACATCAAATATCAGCAACGTACGTAGCTCTGCATTTAGAAAATGTACTGTACCTGGTCACTTCTGCATTGTGGTCACTTATGTCTTTACGTACCAACTTTGGACTGACATTTTGACACAGGCTTTTAGTTAAACCTGTGGCAAGATCTGAAGCCTCTCCCTCTGTTAGTGCACTAAAAATGCTTGTCTTAGTCTTCTTTTTCTTGGGAAGATTGAGGACTAATTCAGGCAGATTTTGTTTGCGCCCCTTAAGAAAAATGAACAGTAGTGCATTAGAACTAAAATAAAACTAAAAGAGAGATTAAAACAAATATAAAATACAACTGATAACTAATATAATCGACCGTATCAATTTAAAAATCAACTTACTCCTAGCAGATCTCTGAAAACATTAGAGGACATATTCTCCCCTTCTATTCTGCGCTGAATTTCTTCCTTTGTGACAACATACGGGGACTTTCTCTGACCAGTGAGGACTAAGCGTCCAAAAACTTTGATGCCTTTAATGTCGTCTGTGGGGTTATTCAAATGACAATCCCCGCTGTCTCTTGCCTCTATTTCCTCATTTTCAAAACCTGCATCCTTGTCAGTTTCAAAGGTTTCTGGCTGTCTTTCTTCCTTGCGGTCTTGCTTTTTTTCCCTATCTGATGCATCACTGGCCTTTATTTTTTTACCCTTTGATTGTTTTTTTTTTTACTTCCACTTTTTCTGTTTTGTGAGTTTCCCTTTTCTCTTCTTCCTCTTGTTTCTTCTCATCCTCTGAAGGTCTTCTTGTGCTTTCCTCTGTCTGCTTACTTTCTCCTTTTTGTAGATGTTCGAACATAGTGTTTCCTTCACCTGCTATTTGAAGCGTCATAATAAACAGCAATGGCATTCTAATCTCAGGACGAATAATCATTACATCTAAAACATTAAACATTAAAATGGGTGTTCAACTACACTTGTACTGGGATACAACATCCTCTATACATCTACAATTTGTGGACTCTACCAACAGTTCTTAAAGGACAACTCCGGCGCAAAATGAACCTTTGGTCTAATTACACATTGCTACCTAGTCAACCGTTATCTGAGATTTGTTTTCATAATTGCCGAATGTAAATAGTTTTATCTCTAAAAACAGTTTAGCCTATAACGCTAGTATAACGCTAGTATATGGGACATAGAGTAATGACAAATAAAAATCGCTTGGTATTACCACTAACAAGGCTCAAAATAGCCCCACACAAACACGACAGCATAATAAGGGTCCCTACATTCAAACCGAAGCATTGAGAACTTTGTCAGTGTCCATACAGTTTAATAAGAAGATATTTTATACACACAGTCAACTTCGTGAATACAGGAAGAAGCCATCTTTAAAAAATAGTCTCTACCAGTCGATCTACGAACACCGATCCAAGTGCGCTGAACTGAGCAGAATCTCATATGGTCCGTTGTTTCCGGAAGACACACAAACACGAACCGTTTTCTTCTCTTCAATATGTACATGTAGACTACTGTTCGCGCTCACCTTATCACCTTATTCACATCTTACCAGCGCACATCGGTGTTCGTAGATTGACTGGTAGAGACTATTTTTCAAAGATGGCTTCTTCCTGTATTCGTGAAGTTGACTGTATGTATAAAATATCTTCTTATTAAACTGTATGGACACTGACAAAGTTCTCAATGCTTCGGTTTGAATGTAGGGACCCTTGTTATGCTGTCGTGTTTGTGTGGGGCTATTTTGAGTCTTGTTATTGGTAATAACAAGCGATTTTTATTTGTCATTTCTCTATGCCCATATATACTAGCATTATACTAGCGTTATAGGCTAAACTGTTTTTAGAGATAAAACTATTTACATTCGGCAATCATGAAAACAAATCTCAGATAACGGTTGACTAGGTAACAATGTGTAATTAGACCAAAGGTTCATTTAGCGCCGGAGTTGTCCTTTAAGTCATACATTATAAGGAACAGACCAAAACAAAACTGATTATTAACTAATAATAACTCTTACCTCTGCAAAACATATTTCCAGAAACAAATTGCACAGCACTGGATAACACGCATATAAACATACCCTTATTCAAACGGCCCCTTAAATTTTACAAATATCCTTAAATCTGCTTTGAAATATAGTATGCAACATTAGATACTCGTTTTGATTTTTGTGGGAGTTTCACTGCAGTTTGCACAACTTGCTCTTTTAGCCTGGATTTTATATAGCGTGTTGAATAGCTGTTTGTTCTTGTAATTGAAATTACTTACAAATTACACAGATGCCACATGGTGTTCGTTGACATCTCAAATGGCTGTGTGCACCACATTCCTGACAGCACACCTAAAATTGAAACAATGCTTGATTCTTTGCAATTAATTACAGTATTAAACAGATTCTTCTATGTACCTTATCTTTCATCAGGACACTCCAGCACACTGTGCACTTTACTCCTCTATCTGCAGGGGAAAAAAAATCATATATTAAAGTTTGTATCAGTCATTTCAGGCCCAAAATGGGCCGAAACATAAATTATCAAATTCACCTAATCTTTCCTAACGATCCGCTAGCTGCCCGCCCCATAAGCAAGCCGTCCAAAAACTGCATCTCTGTATGCAGCCTAGGCTCTGAAATGAGCACACAAAACAAATGGGTACACCACCAAGTCATGACAGGGGCGGGTGTTGCTCTGACTTCGCATCCAGCCGTGAATGAGCTCAAAATCTCACAACACCCGTCTCTGTCAGTGATTGGTTGAAACACTGTTTGTTTTGGTTTTGAGTGGTGGTTGTACCCATTTGTTTTGTGTGCAGATCTCAGAGCCTAGGCTGCATACATTAGACACGCTTTTTGGACGGCATGCTTGTGGAGCAGGCAGCAAGCGGATCGTTAGAGGAAAGATTAGGTGAATGTGATCATTTATGTTTCTGCCTTTTTTAGGCCTGAAATGACTTATACAACCTTTAATAATCAAAGGAGTAGTTCTGTCTTGGCCATGAGAAGAATTTTTTTTTTCTTCTAGAGCTACAAAATTATTTCAGCCAAAATTATGTTCCTTCTTTTAATGTAAAGCTGCTTTGACACAATCTGCATTGTAAAAAGTGTTATATAAATATAGGTGACTTGATCTTATATCTCATGGTCATGACCAAACTAATCGAACTGATCATGTCCCCCCAAATTTGTAATTTGTGTTTTGCTTTAGTTTTTATGAAAGTGAGCACCTAAAGAGGAAAACAGAATGTTGCAGAACTGTGCCCTCAGCTGGGGTATATCCACTGAGGCATATCCATCCACGAAACCTTTTCCCTCAAGCAGGGCCTGAGCAAACTAAAATATAAATTAAGTTAAGTGGGCATTGTAAATACTTTATCAGAATGCATAAAAATAAGAGTACATCGACAGATTTGAGAAAATTAGAAAAAAATTACCATTAGCACATGGACCCCACAAGAATGTCCATCCTCTTGTCGTGGGTGGGGCACATCATGCCATGTCCATTTCAGGGCACATCCTTTAGCTTTGGCAAAAGAACTGAAAAAAATAAAGCTTAATTATTTGGTCTTTGGGTAACACTTTATAACAACTGCACGCTATTAATCATTTGTTAAGCATGAGTAAACAGTTAATTCATCATTTATAAAGCATTAATAGACATTTATACGCAGGTTACAAATACAGCTATAAATGTTTTTTTTTCTTGATTTATAAGCATATCTATAATGCGTTTAATGCTTGTATTTTCATACTTTGTTAATGATCAATTAATCATTTCTAAATCATGTATAGCTTTATTTACAAACCAGTTATTTAAGAGTTGTCAGTCATTCATAAGATCACTTAGAAAGTGTAAGTAAATGTAGTAAATACAGGCTTTGTAAAGCATTTATAAAGGAGATTTAAAGGCGAATCAATCTTCTAAACAGTAAAATGTAACAAACACAACACAGTGATACAGAACATATTTAACAGCCTTTAAATCTTCTTTATAAATGCTTTACAAGGCAAGAATAGTCCTCACTTTAGATGAGCTCACAAACATAGTTAACTGACCACTACTAAATGCTTTATAACTACCCGAATTAACCCTGAATTACAGCATAAATACATGTTAATAAAGCATTTATTAACACACCAACCAAGTAACCATTACCATATGTCTGGATGATAAGATGCTTGAATGTACAGTTTATTTATCATTTACTTACATGATCTAAGTAATCTTATGAACCACTGAAAACTCTTAAATAAATTGTTTATAAAAAATGCAATTCTTCATTTAGAAATGATAAATTGATTATTATGAAAATACAATTATTAAACAAATTATAGATATGCTTTTACATCAAGAGGAAAGCATTTATAGCTGTATTTATAAACTGTTTATTAATGTATATTAATACTTCATAAATTATGAATAATTTTACTCATGCTTAACTAATGATTATTAGCGTGGAGTTATTATAAAGTGTTACCGGTCTTGGTTCTGAATGTAGATGTTGTTGTTTTCACATGCTTGGTCATTTAAGGTAATGTTTCACTATTATACTAAAATCCATTAGCAGAATAATATTATTGTCTAGCAGGACTCTAAAAACAAAACACTTTGGCAAGTATCAAGTACTAACTAAATGAAAGTAGACCGGAAGAGGGTATTTTTCATAAATATCTGGCCAGGACATGTCTCAGTTTTGTTGCGGTGTCACTTTTAAGTCGTTAATCTACTACCTCCAATTCTTCAGAATCTCGTTTTTCTTGCCATTGGCTTCACCAAATGGATCCATGTATGTGACTTCTTGTTTTGTGAGGTCACAGAACTACAAAATAAGATCAGAAAATTAGGAGATTAAAATAATCATCTAATACCAATCCTCATGTCATTTAAAAAAAATACAGTTTGCACAAGGTAACAGTCAATAGTAAGAAATATTAGTTCCCTTTCAGTCGAGAAAGTCAGAGGGTCGACTGAAAAGTCGACTGAATGGGGATCATGTTAGGGAGCCAATCATCTTTTAGTATCTTTAGAACAAGCCAATGCACATTGGTGTGCGAGATCTGCATCTCACACTCCGCACCGCAGCTCGGGTCTAAATGCAGAATTCGATGCACGCACCAGTTGCCTTTCGCTTCAGAGCCGAGCTTCATGTTCAGGTCTTCTGAAGAGTGTTGTTATACAACAAGCTAGTGTAGCTGTGTTTCTTCTGGAAGTTTCTCCTGGTGTTGGTGCTTACAGTGCAAGGGCAACATTGATCGCAAGCTTCAACTTCAGCTCTCAACTGGTGTTCTCACAACACCCAAATGTCTGTTTATGTTGGATGATTGGTATCTCGGGGCGGGCCGTGCTGGTTCTCAGCCCACCGCCAAAATGCCCTTCTTTCCCAAAGTGTATGGAATTTGCAACATGACATCATGACATTTGCGTAAACATACACGCCACTTTCGAGTCAAGTGGCGTGTCATTTTGAGCTATCCGCGTGTATCTGCGTGTATGTCTACGCCATTAACGTCCGCGTCATTCTGCATGTCTGTACATGCTGTCAAATGTCCGAGCGAAAGGAAGCAAAATGTAGATCTACATCTGGGGAGCTATGTTTTCCTTTCCTAGGATGGTAAGGGAACACTCATAAATGCCATTAACCCCAGTGATGGGTAGGTTTAGGGACGGGGTTTAGGTAAGTCATATATTTATATATACAGTAATAACGTTAATTCAACGGCGTTCATAAACACGCTGAAAAGCGATTATGCGTGTTGATAGCACGCCAAAAATGGAAATACAAATTGGCGAGTCATACACACACTACTTCAAGAGATCAGTCTGGGAATTTAAGTTACTAGCTGGTAGATGGCAGAGGTTCTTCCTCCCTTGCTACCCTTGAGGGAGGAGCGGTGAAGGATTGTGCCAAGGCCATGCCTTTCCAGGCCAATTTCCCAGGTTGGGTTGTTTGGTGATGCAGTGGAGAGCTGTGCCCAACAATGGAACCTTTCGTGAAAGCCTCCATCCAGGTTGCTAACACAGAGGCATTTTTTTTATAATACCCCGCCCCCAAACTTGGTCTGCAGAATTTGACCTGAATGAAATGTACTTCAGATCTCTAACCTTCCGCACCACAAGCTATCCTGCATGTTGCATTTGAGGGTTTGAAGTATCAGTACAGAGTCCTATCCTTGGGCGGGATGTGGCTTCCGCAGCGTCCCTTCCTTCCATGTACAGGGAATGCTTTCCCAGTGGTCCTGTAGGAACAGCAGTGACTTCCCTAGCCTAAAGCCCTGTTCCTTCTCTACTTTAAAATCGCAAGGGGATAAGGAGGCATCTGTCTAGGCACTGGAATGTGGGAGCACTAGTGGCATTTTCAATAAGATCCCCATTCAGTCGACATCGTCTGACGTTCTCGACTGAAAGGGAACTTCCTGTTTGTGTATGCAACCCACCATTCCCTGAAGGAGGGAACGGAGGACGTAGTCCACTCGCCACTACTGCTGGACCACTGATTCCGGGGCTGCTTGGCTCCTCAGCGAAAAAGCAGTTTGTGCGTGCATCTACTTCTGTATTATTATATTTTATCATATGCACCGCGGGGGGAGTGTGAGATGCAGATCTTGCACGCCAATGTACATTGGCTTGTTCTAAAAATACTCAAAGATGATTGGCTCCCTAGTCTGATCCTCATTCAGTCAACATCGCACAACCAGGACGTTCTATGGCATTTAGTCTGGTAAGGTTTCCTACTGAACCAAGCCTGTCGTATTCAGAACGCTATGATTTGGCCTACTTACAAAAAGGGTCCAGTGATTTTCATTTTCCAGGAGGGCACCAATAACTTTAGTGTAGGTTTTAAATAGATCTTTCTGTAAAGATAAAATTATTAATTGAATCAAAAGAAACCAGTTCTCTGTGAAACATCATGTATTCCTTTTTTAAAGGGGCTCTAGGAAAAATAAAATTATTATTATTAGTGGCACTTGTGGCCATGAATTGAACTCCAGCCAGCAACTTATTGCGTGTGCATGCTTGGGTTCGTGCCCACAATCCATAGTGATTCGAGCAAGAATTGGCCAAACAGTAGCTGACATCATGTCGACAGATGACGTTCATTAAAATTACACTGTTAAAATAAAGTTGTTAAAATCAGAATAGAGACTTTCATTGACAACCTAGGAAGTTGTGAAATGTCTCTTTTTTTAGGTTTCACTAGTGAAAGAATTAAAATAAACAAAATGATTAATATATGAAAAAATCTTACGTAAAGCCCCTTTAAAATAATTTAAGGCTGTAACTTTAAAACAAGTTAAAACATTCTCTTTTTCCAGCTGAATATGCAGTGACAATTTGCAAACCATTTGTATGTTGATTCTGATGCAAACAATTACCTAAACATAACTATAAACTTGTAATATTTACACATAAATGGAAAATTATCAAAGACAAGATACTTTTGCCCATAATGTTTAATAGTGCAGCTTCCATATTTCTATTTTCCACTCCACATCAGGGTGAACCTTGAAAAATTCAGACTGTATGTCATTGCTATGAACATTTACAGTGCCTCAGTACTAGGTAATCACTGTATCTGTAGTGCACAGCATAAATGAGTAAATCTCCTCTGAACAAATACAAAAGATGTATTTTCTTAATGACCACTAATACAATTCATTGAAATATAGCAAAATTGAAACATATGCTTAATAAAAATAGAGAAATATATGTAATTAATATCCATAAAATAAGAAAATTAGCCAATTTTGTACAAAAATGAGATACCCTAGATTTAATTCAACAAATCTATAATATTGTAGTACTTAGTATGTCTTCCTTAATTTTGAATAAACTGCTCTGACCATTTTTTGAACAGAGTGAAATTGTCACATCTTTTGAACTCCTGGATTATGACCTCCTTAAATTCCCTGATCTTTAATGGGGAGTGTTGCTTAACTTGGCTCTACAAAATCCCTTACAGGTGCTCAAGTGTGTTAAGACTGGGTGAAAAACATGTCCACAGAAGGTTGAAAAAAATGGCCAACAGCGCAGGCAATGAGTATTGAGGAGAGTAATGTAATGAGGTTGTAATGAGGTTGCATCTTATGTTTCAAGTTTTTGTATTACATCAGACTGAGATGTGTGAATTAATGACAGCATTGATAAAGCATAACTCCCTCATACCTTCATAGCTCATAAATCCCTATAGAGCTTTACTACCACTGAACATCACTGTGGAAACCAGGCACTACTCCCTGTATTCATTCTCCAACAACAGCATTACATTTTGGATGCTTTTAAATCCAAAATGATTGACTTGGTCTCATGAGACCCAAATAAGGACTCACAGAAGTCAATATTTTGTAAATATGGTTATTGGAAAAGGCAAGTAAGTAGTAAGTACAGTAAGTAGTTCCAGTGTGGACAATAACCAATCATGTAACGTCTGCAGGCTGCATCTAACTTTGTGAGATAAACTCACTCCTTTCGTAGCTTTTGCTGGCTCTGAAAAACTCGCTTTGTATTTCTCCTGCCTTTTGTCAAGCAAAAATCACTCATCACTAAATGAAAGCTTAAAATGAAGGCCTGATTATTTCAGGGTTCTTGTCAGAAGTCCTCTTTATTTCTGTTTTCATTTTGCTATATTTTCACTTTCCCAAGTGGTACCATTGTTGTCAGAATTACTGTAAGTCTGAGAATGATTCAGTGGGCTATATAACACTTTTTGTCAAGAAATTACTTAAAATATTTTGGTTCAACATACTTGCCTGTTGATCAAAATTGCCTTGAACTGACACCAGATTTTTTTTTTTTTTGGAGTAACTTACTTATTTTTGCAATACAACATTTTATCACTCAAAGGTGGGGTACTGTATATGATTCTCTTTTTTGTCCAGTTCTTCAAAATCACTTGAAATCCTATTCATAACCTACTTACAGACACTGAGTTAGAAGCACTGAAATGAAAATTAATCGCTTTAATCATCTGTGGAACGGGCAGGACTCAAAAAACTCCAGCCAATCATCTTCCACCAAGACCACCTCGTTGGAGACAGTAAGTCCGTCAATCAAATGGTCGTACCATACCCCTCCCCCTTGTGCCGTGACCCCTTCATGTGCATACTCAAAGCACATTACTATGAATTCTGCTTTAAATAGAAGGCCACTGTACAGACGCCAGGGCTGAGTCTCACGCATTTGATTTTTCGCTCGTGCATGATTGCGCGTCGATGTTCTTCTAATTGAGTCAGGGCCAGCGTTGGAGGGAAGAAGGGAGGACCTTTTGAGTTGTGTATTTTCAAAATCTGCCGGCCGTTTTGCATATCCCATACCCCACCTTTAAGATAAGAAAATATTATTTTCCTGAACAATTTTGTCATGCTTCTTTGACAATTGATCAAGAAGACTTCCTGGAACATTACATCTCCAAAGAACCCTAACATGTCTTCCAAGTAAAGAGTAATTGCTGAATTTGTTAAGTTTTAGATACTTATTTATGCTATGCACGATATGTCATCACAAGCCCTGAAAGTTTCCACCTTGGCTTAAATTCTTTATTTTGAAAACTATCAGTTGCTATTGCAGAATAACATTAGAATCTGCAGCTTTAATATTTAGATGGGCAAATGTCTTTGATTGAATTTTTTTAATGTAAGATCATATTTTACGTATGTAAATATTATTTACTGCACCTTGCAGAAGTAGTGGCTTTTAACCCTCTGGGATCCAGACAGAATCTTAGTCATGGATTGTGTACAAATATTGTACACATCATTGAATTTCTTAAGGGGAAAAGGAAAAGCAGATAAATACGATACATGCATACATATATACGTACAAACAGGTAGATACATAAATTATATATTTCATACCTTGCAGGTGATACTCATGAGCGCATCCATTGCCTATTGATAATAATTTTAGTTAGGACCTGAAAAAAATCATTAAATTCTAAAATACACCAATTATTGCAATTATTAAATACACTAATATCTCACCACATCTGGTATGTAGCCTGGCTCATACAGAGCTTTTAAATGGGCAGCTGAAATGCTATTTGGCCCAACACAGCCCAGTAAGGACTCCCAAGGTTGGTCTGTAAATAGGGTATGTATATAAAAGTCATCAGCACAATTTTAAAAGGGTAAGTATATATGTGATACAGAATGTGCACCCTTACCAGTCATGTTGAATCATACGATAAAAGCTGGAAAACAATAATATACAGTAAGTACAATAAGTCCATTAGGAAGCATTTCTGTTAACAATTAAAAGGGGCTATGTAAGAACTTTTTTTATGGCTTCCCTGACTTCCTAGGTTGGCTGTGTAAGCCTGTAGACTGATTTTTATGATTTATCACCCTTTTTTGAAGGGAAAATCCAAAATGAACTATCACAAAAGTGTAATTATATTGACGATCATCTGTCAACATAATGTCGATAAATTATGTTCAGTTACTGTTTTGCCCAAGACGAAGTCACTTATGGAGTGTGTGCACAAGAGCGAGGGCGAGCAGTTTCTAGCTGCAGTACACTTAATGGCTGCCGGTGTTGTTAACATCAAGGGTTAGTGGAAATAACACATAAAGCCTTCAAGATTGAAATAGAAACGTGGGTTAAGCTAATTAATTATATAAATTAGGCAAAAGTATCCAAATAAATTTACCAGACACTAAAATGTGACTTCATTGCACAGTGCAGCAGAGCTAAGTTATTTATCCTTAAACTAAGTATTAATATTTACAGTTACATTACTGTAACGGTCACCAGGTGGAGTGCCCTTGAGAGTCACCAGAGGGCACTCCACACCAGATGTTCATGTTTCACTCACAACTACATTTCCCAGAACTCACTGCCCGGACTCATTATCACTGATCGCATTCACCTGTACCTCATTCACTGATTGCATTCACCTGTGTCTCATCCTGTTAGTCTGTCTATATATACCTTGTGTTCACATTCACTGTTTGCGAAGTCTTGTTGTACTGTGTGTATGCATTTCCGAGCGTTTTCTTATGTTTGTTTTTCTGTTTTTGAATTTGGATTGTTCTTGGATTTTGATTATTGCTGCCTGCCCTCACCTCTGCCTGTTTTTTGGATTCCCACTGTGTATTCTTCATTGCCCTGTCTGCTGATTCTCGACCCTGCCTATATGACTATTCTCAATTAAAGCTGCATTTGGATCTTCATCTCCAAGTCTCGGAGCAGTTCATAACAATTACAGTAGCACTTCCTTCAATACAAAATATTAGATTTAGATTTAATTCATCACTGTAATAAGTAAAAAACAAACAAACAAACAAAGATTTCAATTAACTTTTAATTTGATTAACTACAGTAGAAATGGTATGTTGGAGAATTTGCTTAAAATGCTAATTTATGGGAATCATGAATAGTCCTGGATCAACATTAGTGAATCTACCCTGTATTGAACTGACAATAATGGTCCTCGAACAACATTAGCAAATCTACCCCATATTGAAATGATCATGATATTCTTGGATCAACATTAGCGAATCTACCCCGTATTGAACTGAACATGATGATCCTGGATCAACATTAGCGAATCGACCCCGTATTGAACTGATCATGATGGTCCTGGATCAACATTAGCGAATCTACCCCGTATTGAACTGATCATGATGGTCCTGGATCAACATTAGCGAATCTACCCCGTATTGAACCGAACATGATGATCCTGGATCAACATTAGCGAATCTACCCCGTATTGAACTGATCATGATGGTCCTGGATCAACATTAGTGAATCTACCCCATATTGAACTGATCATGATGATCCTGGATCAACATTAGCGAATCTACCCCGTATTGAACTGATCATGATGGTCCTGGATCAACATTAGCAAATCTACCCCATATTGAACTGATCATGATGGTCCTGGATCAACATTAGCGAATCTACCCCGTATTGAACTGATCATGATGGTCCTGGATCAACATTAGTGAATCGACCCCATATTGAACTGATCATGATGGTCCTGGATCAACATTAGCGAATCTACCCCGTATTGAACTGATCATGATGGTCCTGGATCAACATTAGCGAATCTACCCCGTATTGAACTGAACATGATGATCCTGGATCAACATTAGCGAATCGACCCCGTATTGAACTGATCATGATGGTCCTGGATCAACATTAGCGAATCTACCCCGTATTGAACTGATCATGATGGTCCTGGATCAACATTAGCGAATCTACCCCGTATTGAACTGAACATGATGATCCTGGATCAACATTAGCGAATCTACCCCGTATTGAACTGATCATGATGGTCCTGGATCAACATTAGTGAATCTACCCCATATTGAACTGATCATGATGATCCTGGATCAACATTAGCAATCTACCCCGTATTGAACTGATCATGATGGTCCTGGATCAACATTAGCAAATCTACCCCATATTGAACTGATCATGATGGTCCTGGATCAACATTAGCGAATCTACCCCGTATTGAACTGATCATGATGGTCCTGGATCAACATTAGTGAATCTACCCCGTATTGAACTGATCATGATGGTCCTGGATCAACATTAGTGAATCGACCCCATATTGAACTGATCATGATGGTCCTGGATCAACATTAGCAAATCTACCCCGTATTGAACTGATCATGATGGTCCTGGATCAACATTAGCAAATCTACCCCGTATTGAACTGATCATGATGATCCTGGATCAACATTAGCGAATCAACCCCATATTGAACTGATCATGATGATCCTGGATCAACTTTAGCGAATCTACCCCGTATTGAACTGATCATGATGGTCCTGGATCAACATTAGCGAATCTACCCCGTATTGAACTGATCATGATGATCCTGGTTCAACATTAGCGAATCTACCCCGTACTGAACTGTCATGATGGTCCTGGATCAACATTAGCGAATCTACCCTGCATTGAACTGATCATGATGGACCTGGATCAACATTAGTGAATCGACCCCGTATTGAACTGTTCATGATGATCCTGGTTCAACATTAGCGAATCTACCCCGTACTGAACTGATCATGATGATCCTGGATCAACATTAGCGAATCTACCCCGTACTGAACTGTCCATGATGGTCCTGGATCAACATTAGCGAATCTACCCCGTATTGAACTGTTCATGATGATCCTGGATCAACATTAGTGAATCGACCCCGTATTGAACTGTTCATGATGATCCTGGATCAACATTAGTGAATCGACCCCGTATTGAACTGTTCATGATGATCCTGGAGCAACATTAGCGAATATACCCCGTACTGAACTGATCATGATGGTCCTGGTTCAACATTAGCGAATCTACCCCGTATTGAACTGAACATGATGATCCTGGATTAACATTAGCGAATCTACACCGTATTGAACTGATCATGATGGTCCTGGATCAACATTAGCGAATCTACCCCGTATTGAACTGATCATGATGATCCTGGATCAACTTTAGCGAATCTACCCCGTATTGAACTGATCATGATGGTCCTGGTTCAACATTAGCGAATCTACCCGTATTGAACTGATCATGATGGTCCTGGATCAACATTAGCGAATCTACCCCGTATTGAACTGATCATGATGGTCCTGGATCAACATTAGCGAATCTACCCCGTATTGAACTGATCATGATGATCCTGGATCAACATTAGCGAATCTACCCCATATTGAACTGATCATGATGGTCCTGGATCAACATTAGTGAATCTACCCCGTATTGAACTGAACATGATGATCCTGGATCAACATTAGCGAATTTACCCCGTATTGAACTGATCATGATGATCCTGGATCAACATTAGTGAATCTACCCCGTATTGAACTGATCATGATGATCCTGGATCAACATTAGCGAATCTACCCCGTATTGAACTGATCATGATGGTCCTGGATCAACATTAGTGAATCTACCCCGTATTGAACTGATCATGATGATCCTGGATCAACATTAGCGAATCTACCCCATATTGAACTGATCATGATGGTCCTGGATCAACATTAGCGAATCTACCCCATATTGAACTGATGACTTTATAGCAATTATCAAAATATTGATTACAATCATATTCAAAAAGCAGATATTCTACTGTTTTTTTTAAAACGCATGTACTTTTTGCACACTTTATTCTGACTAAAAGCATAGTAGTCTGTTTTAAAGAGCAGTAATTTATTACCATTTTTAAAACATTATTATAAAATTGTAAGGAATATTACATTTGTGTGTAAGAGTATGTGAGAAGGAAGACTTTTAGGGGTTATAGAGAAAAGCAAGCTAAGCTATTAGCAAGCTAAGCTATTAGCTCACCGGCACATGGCAGTTGTATGTTCAGAGTTGCATTACATTATGCCATTTAAGTGTAATATTTCAGGATTTTTTCGTGAATAAATACATTTACAAAGGTAGATTTTTAGTTAGGGAGAGGGTGAAAGAAAGAGGACAGACAAAATAACTTACCTTTTGTCGGTCAGCCGAGAAAGGTGGGGAGGGAAGATTCAAAATGGAGTGATGGGTTTTTGGGTCGGCACACATGGATGACATCAGAGGCTTGTGATTGGTTGATTAAATGTTGATCCAGGATCAACAAAATATGTTGATCCAGGAACACATCTTACTTGGCAAAATCACGGTCACCTTGAAACAGTCAGGGCGGAATTGGAATAAAATGCTAGATGATTTTTTGATTCAAAATGATTTTATTCAAAATCCTGCTGATCATTGTGTCTACAATAAACAAATTGGAGGTGAGAGAATCATACTGATAGTCTGGGTTGATGATCTCCTTATTGCAGCAAGTGATAGTCAGATACTCAGAAATGTGAAAAGAATGTTGGAGGAAAGATTTAAAATGAAAGATCTTGGTAAACTTACACATTTTCTGGGTATTGATTTTGCACAAGGAGATGGTGAGATAAAAATGACCCAGAAAAGGTTCATTATTAAGATTTTGGAGAGGTTTGATATGATTAATTGTAAACCAAGGTCAACTCCATGTGAAAACAGAATGCAATTTGATAATGAAGGTGAACGTGTTGATCCAAAACGGTATCGAGAAGTGGTTGGTAGCTTGATCTATCTCATGACTTGTACTAGACCAGATCTAGGCTTCATTGTCAGTAAGCTGTCACAACACTTTTCTGAACCAAAGAACCAACACTGGGTAGCTGCTAAGCATGTATTGCGATATTTAAAGGGAACTGTGAA